TAGTTTTAATCTCATACAATTGAAGTTAGCCTTCCTAACATTATATATTTTTGATTTGGACTTTGCTCTTCGGGCACTAAACTTAACCTCAGATTTGATGATGCTATGATCGCTACTGTCAAGTGGTTCTAAAACATCTAATTTACCAATCCTGTCCTGGTTATTAGACAAAACAAGACCAAGAATGGCATCTCCCCTGGTAGGGGTGTTAACAAACTGAGTAAAAAAAACAATCCTGTACTAATCCCACCATGTCAAGTTCATTTTCAGAAGAGCCAGCAACAATGTCCCACTGCATCCCCGGTAGATTAAAATCACCCATAACTACCACATCATTTTTATTGCTCATAATCCTAATATCACTGCATAACAATCTGCTTTCCTCAGCAGCTACATTGGGTGCTCTGTAACAAACACCGACAATTAGGCTATTACATGGGTGTCCCCTTGGCCTGGTCCAGTCACTTGGGTCCTCAGCAATGAGGATCCTGCGAGCCAGATCACCCTCAGGGAAGCGTGGCACAAGGCCGTAGTGCTGTACCTGACGCTTCCTCACAATGCAGGTAATATGCCTCATTTGGGACTCCTCTAGTAACCGCTCATTCGACACAAAGTCAAACCAGCAATACCCAAGGATTCTCTGAAGAGAGACAGTACCGAAGGAGTCTAGTCTTTGTCTTAGCTCACTGTCCATGTCTCACAGCCATGCAGCAAGACAGGGAGCACCGGAACTCAAGACTTGGATCTTCGTCCTCTTGCAAAGATATCCCTCCACTCTGCACAGCACTCATAGTACCAGTGTACAGGCCTGCCATGATGTCCAGTAACTTCGGGGGGATCCCAAGAAGTATTCGCACTTGAGCTCAATGAGAACCCTCAGTACCAGGATATGGTCGATGGCAGACTTCGGCGTAAAGCCAGACTGTTCCGGTCGCTGACAGGCAAGCAAGTGATCACGGGTCCTGTTAAGGATGACCCTAGCAAGGAGTTTACCCCAGCACTGAAAGCAGTGTTATTCCCCTATAGTTGCTACAATCCAGGCGATCACCCTTCCCTTTCCAGATAGGGACTACAAGTCCCTTTTTCCAGTCGGTTGGGATGACACCTGACTCTCAAATGGAAGCAAAGATTGCCTGCAATACCAGGAGGACAGCCTCACCACCAGCCTGGAGAAGTTCACCTTGGATACCACAGATTCCTGTGGCCTTCCTTGCCCCCAGCTGATTCACCACCCATGCAATCTCAGTAAGGTTGGGTGGATCACAGCTAATCGGAGAATCAGCTTTAAACAACTGCTTAAAGTAGCTGCCCCAGCGGGTCACAACTTCAGTGTCATCCGTCCCATCACCGGCCCTGACTGCAATTCTCCGAGGAACACATTCAGATGTGCGTAATGCTTCAATTCCTCAGTAAACAGGATGTGGGTCACTAGACTGGGATTGCTGCGAGGATTGCTGGGATTGCTGCGAGAGAGTGGTGTTGAGCTGCAGCGATTGTTTGGGATTGTTT